ACATCTTCAGTTCTAGGCTGGCAAGAAATAAAGCTCAGAACATTAAATCTCAGAGGCCCAAAGAAGAATCCTCTTCAGAGGCTTGGCCCTACTACTCATAAATATGGCAAGTGTGAAACCAGCACCACGCTTGTAGACATGCTTCTTTGAGAGTAATTAATGCCAGGGGTGAATGTGACAACGTGAGTTTTAGGCTTGCCAGGTCCTCTCCTTCTTTTCCATGCCTCTGGAGTCTCTTTAGTTTGGGTTTATTGTGACCACCTGTCTTGCATTCCATGGAATAGTCCTCAAGTCAGTAATTGGTCAGTCATGTTCCAATACTCTGGTCCCTCCCATTTCAGCTTCACCCACTCGCATCACATCTCCTAACACTAGCCTCACCCTGATGTCAACACCCAGCCCTGGAACTCCAGCATCTCTCTCGTTCCATCATAATGTTCCCAGTCAGTACTTCTGTATCGTGCAAAGACAGCCACCATGCTGGGCCATATTTCTGCACATTCTCTGTTGGCTTTTTCTGAGCACTGTAGGCAACTTTTCCCCATTTGTGTGGTAGACACTGAAGAGACTTGAGTATTTTTCTTTCCTACCCATCAGTCCTTTCTCCCACCCCCACCATGCTCCATTTGTCACTTTCTTAATTTTAGTTCCAGCTTTTGAAAGATACTTCCTTTACTGACCATGGAAATGGAAACTCTGACTTGTTTCAGCTCTGATGTTTGACACTATTTGTTATAGAAAACTGGATAATGAGAGAAAAGTGAAGGGATTTCTTAACTGAGGACATTAGTTTTGAATCTTACGGTATGTATCTCAAAAGGTGTATTTTCTTCCAGTCTGGCTTCTTCTTGATTCCCTATACACTTTCTGTGGGTCAGGAAATATAAGCTAATTTCAAGATGGGAACAGATCAGTAGCACAGTCAATAATGCATTCTAAGCCAAAATAAAAGTGGTTTTTAAAAGTTAAATCTTTAGTTTAATATTTGTATCACTAGTCTTTTCTGTTGCCTAAAAATCCAGAATTTACTCTGCCTGCTAAACCTTTAGCTGCTATAACAAACATCTGTGCCCTGTTTAACTGGAAACCAAATGAACTGAACTAAACAGAAGCAGTTGTGATTCTGGGACATTCAACAACATGGTTAGTGTGTCTGATATGTTTCATGTGGACAAGGACTCTCTCTTTGCAAAATCCATATACTGAAAATCTCTTTGTCTTAATTCTTAGAGATACTTACCTTTAATCTTTCATTTACCTATTGCTTTTAGCAAAACCTGGCCAAATTTTCAGTTATCCAGAGTAAGAAAAATCCTAGAATTTTACCAAAAAAAGAGATAATACAAAGTGTTCACATAATCATTCTTACTCATTTTTCATTCATTTTTATTCATTCAAAATTATTCACTCAAAGCACATTTACTGAGCAATTACTTTGTTTCAGAATATTAGGTGCTTCAAGACAAAAATACAAGACATGGTTATTTCCTTGAAAAAGTTTACCATCATTCAATTTGCTGTATATACTCAAATTTTTCCCTATGAAGCAGAACAGGGACAGGCCCACTTCTGTAGATAGTTCCTTTCCTCTTTTTTAAGAGGAGGCCCTGACTTCAAACCCTATTCATAAAGGGTCAGTGTGAGAGAATAACAGCATTATGGAAGTAGGCCTAGCTCAAGTTTGAAGCAAAGGCTTTGGGAAGATGCCTATCTGCTCTGTGAATCCATGGCTTCTCAGTCCTCATGATTCCTACATGCATATTTCAAACCTTTCTTATGCTATAGAGCGCCTTTAACATGTAGTCCAAACTAAAATGCACCAAGATCTGCTGAAAACTCCAATTCTTTTCTCCAAAGTTATATAGGCCTATCTTTTGTCTTGACGAAACCCATTTGCTTTACCTAGATAACATCCAAAACGTCTATTCTGTACTGCACATTCAAGCGTCCTTCTCAACTGAATTATTACTATTGGCATGAAACATGCTCGGAATTTTCCTATACAAATTAGTTAACTAATTAACCCTCCTGTGGGGCAAATGGAAGTTTTCACCTAGAATTTCCCAGCTGACCTTGATAGTAGTGTGCAGATAAGGGCCTATTTGTGTGTAAATGGATGTTTACCAGGGAAGAGCCTCTGGTCCATTTGGGGTAGGGGGTGAAGAGTGGCCACCATTCTCTCCTCCCCTCTGTTCCTGGTGCTAATTGGTTAGGTGCCTTCCAGGCACCAGGGACCCACCCATGCAGTTTCTCTGGGAAGTGGCAAGTGGGGGAAGGAGCTATGCACCCTTCAGCAGGGCAGATGGAGTGGGTCTGTCTAGCAGAGTTGAGGGAGAGGGGGCAGAAAAAGCCTAGTGAAAGGCTGAGCCCTGAGCAATAAAACTTCTCCCCAACCTGCCCTTTCCCTTGTTTTCCTTTGGTTTTATCAGATTTGTAAGGAACTTGCCCCGGGCGGGGAACACCCTTCCACCTGAAGCCACATCTCCCTTGCCTTGAATATTGGGTTACATTTACTCACCTTCCACTCATTTCATTCTAATCTGGCTTTAGTCCCAACACTGGGGAAACAGCTATTGTTGAGAACATCTATGACATCAGTGGTCCTAATTCCAATAAACATATACTTGCTACAGATTATTTATTTTACAAATATTTTCTCAAAGCAATTCCTACAATTACTACAAAGAACCACCCATTCCTTCAGGGTATTTTAGGTATGGCTCCATTGCATTCTAGTTTTTACTGTGACTGCTGACAAGTATGGCATCATTCTGATCCCTGATTCTTTGTGGGTGACCTGTTATTTCTTTTACTTTTCTTCCCTTTTCCCCCCTCTGTCTAGAAGCTTTAAGATCGTCTCTTAATCTCTGGGGTTTTGAACTTTCCCAAAATATCTTAATGTGGTTCTGTTTTCATTCATTTTCTTGGGCACTTTCTGGTTCTTTAAATTAGGAACTCATATTTGGTTGCTGGGAATTTTTATAATTTGACAGTTTTCTTCTCTATTTTTTCCTCTTTTTAGAACTCCTGTTATTCAAATGATATAGCTATGGCCTCTGTATTAGCTAGCATTTGCCAGAGATACATATAATAAGGAGTTTGGAGATACATCATATATATACATA